TGAGTGTCACACCTTCCTTGATATCCGGATATTCCAGTGTTGGGAGAGGACGCAGACCAGTTTCCTACACCAAACATTTATTATTGCCCCACTCATAAGAACAAAATCTGAACAAACCACAAAGATCTTCAATACCCTATCATCCCACATTTTCCATGTCTTGCGTGCCTTCAGCATCTTGTATGCATCCTCGCGAGAGGGCCATATGTCCCTCCTAACATCTGAACCTGGTGCAAGCTTTCCCGCGCTCGTTTTGAAAATTACACTTGGGTCCATTGTCATGGGTTCGACACAGATCATGGACGTGAAAAGACCTTCAATGGATGGAGCAAAGTCCAATCCAAGGAGAAGAGCGATAGCACTCGCGGAATGCCCGATTCCAACAAGTATATGAGACGAAAAGTCAAAGTTGCCGACTACTTTGCCTTCCAACGTAGATCCAAGGAGAGTACGGCCTCTACCAGTCAAGAAAGAGTGAATGCTACGCCCATAGTCCACCCATGGGACTGAAGGACGTGGATTAGAGCACAAGAGTGTGAAACATGCTATTACTTACAAGCAGGCTCGTATCCCCACTGGAGTTTCTTCTCGTTCAGTATCGCGGAGTCTCCGTGGTTTGGCGCGTCAATAGACCAGATCTCACGTATTTTGATCTTTGATGATTGTTGCTCAATAATGTCCAGTAGGTCGTCGATTGTGGGCTTGCAGGACATGAGTAACAACGATCGCACGATCAGGGAAACTTCATACCTCCCAGTGTTCTTTGCTGAATCCCGTCCCATGGGCGAACACTAGTGTCAGGCCATCCTGCCACGAGGGTTTCCAATATCGTTTAATCGCTGAAACCAGTGGATAGTATGGCCGAGGATCCCAGGTATAGGATTCTGAAAGTAGAGACGAATACATTGAGGCTCTTCTGTGTTGGACAAGGAGCTTATATAGGCGTGAAATTAAGAGATCATATGAACGGAAAGGCAGGGACATGCATCGGATGCATGGGACTGGACATTGAGAATGACATTTATAAATTAACGCCCATAAAACGGAAGATGATCTAGTCCGTGCTGAGCTACAAACAACTGTTAATCGATAATCTCCTTTCCACCCTGTATAAACACCGTAAAAGGATGGCTGTAGTTTGAGCGGGTCAAAGACCCTTTCCTTGTCCGTCGATAGTAAGAAACATATTTTGCAGCTATTCTAAATCGGTTTGTGGGGCCGCCACGCCGCGGGTCGAGTTCACCAGAAGAGGTGGCGAAAAAGACGATTTAGTTAGTAGGGCCATTGCCATTCCTATAGTCACTAAGCGAGTCAGTTCCCGACAAAAACGTGTCTATCCAAAGTGAGTCCGAGTTGATTCCCCGAGCCGCGTAAGTAACTATGGTGTAGCATTTCCTGAGTCCGAGTGGCCTCCTGTCATCAGCAGAATGTGAAGTATTCTCAAAGATAATACCAACGAACAACTTCTTGACAATTTTCTTCCCGGGGCTTGTCTTCCATCATTGCCTCCCCTGCCGCCCAGTAAGCTGCAGAGCAAGATTCGCAGCATACAGTAAGATATTGGGTCCGATCATGTCAATAATGCTTTACAGCTGTTTTATTAAGGGCTATTCAGTCCTAATCGCGGCAAAAATCGACGGCCATTCGATGAGATTCAATGATCAGATATGAGTGGGCGAACGGTACCCCAAAGCGCTGAGCTTAGCGGAGTAAAATCGGCCGGTTGCTGAAAAGGTCTCTTTAACCAACTTCATTGTTTACTCATTCATTATGTTTTAAGTCTATAAGTCTACCAGAATTGTCAGTCACGAACGTCCTCGATACTGGAGACTGCTTTCTCAAGGAAGAGTATATCTGGAGGGCGTTGAAATCAGCGGTCGTACTCAGTTTTAGGTGGTCAAAAACATTAATCTATGCCACAATCAGGCGGCTGCCACAGTACCAGATGGATTGGCAATTTCGATTCCTGAAGCTAGCGCGACCTGCTACAGAAGGGGGGGGGGTGAAGGATAATGATCCCGTCGAGGGACAGTCGTATGTACTAGGCATCCCTGTGTTTGCCCTGCGGTCTACCTCGTCGAGCTCGCTGCCTGTCGTAGAAACCGGCTCTTTACTGTTTTCGGCTGCGCCACGTCGTACTGGGCCGTGAATTATCCTATCATATCATTACTCTCAACTGTACTATGCTCTCTACAGTCTCTTTGCCACTGCAAGCCCCGTTATCAGAAACCTCTCGTGTTTCAAACGCCAGTCTTCTAATTCTATGACCACCAGCGGAAATTTCAATCACTGTTACTTGTTGCCAAGGTATAGTTAGAGCTTGGATCCCAGAGCCCTCGCATCCACGTTCAAGCACTCCAAGATTTTCTCTGCGACTTTCCGTGGATTCTGGTGTGGGGCCTACAGATCCAAGGTCAGTCATATCAGTTCGAAAGGCATGAACTAAGCTTCACTGACTGTATGTCCCACTCCCTCGATGTACCCAAAGCTAGCAAGGTTCTGCGTACCTCCAATAGCATTCTTTAACACATCCTCTATATTCTCCGCGGGACTGTATATCAATTCTATGGGCATGAACTTCAGGTTAAGTTGGTATTGGAGTAAGTACCCACATGTAATCGTGTATTGTGCCATAGCAGAGATGTATCCGTACGCGCGAAGCATAACAGCGAAAGCCTCGGTAAACAGTAGAATATCCATGGGAATCTCTATAGACAGCCTACCATATACGGGGCACGATAAGTCGCAGGAAGAAGGACAAGACGAGGACACTCACCGCCTCTTGCTTTCGCGAACATTTGAGTGTCACGCCTTCCTTGATATCTGGATAGTCCAGTGTCGGGAGAGGACGCAGACCCGTTTCCTACACCAAACATTGAGTATTGCTCTACTCATAAAAGAACAGAATCAAAAAACAAACCACAAAGATCTTCAATACCCTATCATCCCACACTTTCCACATCTTGCGCGCCTTCAGCGTCTTGTACGCATCCTCGCGAGAGGGCCATATGTCCCTCCTCGAATCCGAAGCTTGTGCAAGCTTTCCCGAGTTCGTTGTTAGAATTACACTCGGGTCCATTATCATAGGTTCGACGCAGATCATGGACGCGAAAAGACTTTCGATGGATGGAGCAAAGTCCAGTCCAAGGAGAAGAGCGACAGCACCGACGGAATGCCCAATTCCAACGAGTGTATGAGACGAAAAGTCGAAGTTACCGACTACTTTGCCCTCTAACGTAGATCCAAGGAGTGTACGGCCTCTACCGGTCAAGAAAGAGTGAATGCTACGCCCATATTCTCCCCATTGGACTGAAGGACGAGGATTAGAGCACAATAGTGTGAAACATGCTACTACTTACAAGTAGGCTCGTATCCCCACTGAAGTTTCTCTTCGTTCAGTATCGCGGAGTCTCCGTGATTTGGCGCGTCGATAGACCAAATCTCCCGTATTTTGATCTTCGATGATTGTTGCTCAATAATGTCCACTAGGTCGTCGATTGTGGGCTTGCAGGATATGAGTAACAGGGATCGCGCGATCAGGAAAACACCTCCGTACCTCCCAGTGCTCTTTGCCGAATCCCGTTCCATGGGTGAACACTAGTGTTAGACCATCCTTCCATGAAGGTTTCCAGTATCGTTTAATCGCCGAAACCAATGGATAGTACGGCCGAGGATCCCAGGTATAGGATTCTGAAAGCAGGGACGAACTCATCGAGGGTCTTCTGTACAGTTTGTGCTTGGCAAGGAACTCATAGAGGCGCTATATGAGTGAAAAGGCAGGGACATGCATGGCATAATGGACGACGTTCATAATGGAAGTGGACATACATACTAATTCAAAGCCTGCCTGATGGAATCCCACAAAACGGAGGATGATTTAGTCCGAGTCGAGATATCCACAGGTGTTCCTCGAGTAATCTCCTGCCAGCATTGTCGTGCATAGTCCGTCTTCTAGCGATATAGAACATCGATAAGAAGACATAAGCATTTGCAGCATGGCCGCGATCTGTTCAGTGTTACCAGGATGGCGAGAAGGCTGGAACTTCTAGTAGTTACCATTCCTAGATTCACTAAACGAGTCAGCTTCCGACACAAACGGGGTCGCATCCAAAGAGATTCCGAGGTGATTCTCCGAACTTCGTGGTTATTGTGTAAAGACTTCTTGTGCCTGTCATCAGCGCTAGCAGATTCCAGGATGTGTATTGGCACATACTTAAAAAATGATACCAACGACAGCAGGCACCAGATACGCAGCACAAGATATCATGGAGTCAATAACACTTTATAGCCTTTTACAGCTCGCGCAATGCCTTTCGAGGATGAAGCGTGATTCGACGTGGACTTTGGGAGTGATTTCCATGAGATTCGAACAGTACTACTGTGTTTGCGGGTACAATTGCCAAAACCAGGTCTACCAGAATTGTTGGTCACGGACTTCCTCGATACTAGGGACTAGTTTTGCAAAGGAGGGTATATTTAGATATCGAGGGCGTCAAATTAGAGCCAGGTCAATCGGTTGGATGGACGTCTGAGGCTATCGAGTTGGTCGGGAACTATAGGAATGCGCTGGGATGGGGCGGTACGCGCTGACGTACGATAGTTACAATCCTACTGTCATTCGTCCTCTATATCCTGTCTGCCCAGATTCCCGCTTATTCCATGACTCTTTTTCGAACTCTCGAACGGCCTTAACCTGGACTTGCAGGCGTTAGCCAGACATGTGCAAGAGGCGTCCTGCACTTGAGGCCTTGAGGCTTTGGAGACTTGAAGACTCAACCAGGTTTTGATGGCAATGGTGTGCGATGTAGTGACCGGTGAACGTTGAAGTTCAAGAACTCGTATATTACGTCAATGAACCTATCCGGGTTAGAGACTAGGCTTCAGCGTGCAATACCACTTATGAACATCTGTCTGAATATGATTCAATATCCAAACGTCGTTAAGTTTATGTATTTATGTAGCTAGAGAATCTTCGAAGCAAAAACAAGCTCTGATATTATAGCCCACCGCGAGGGTCGAACTCGCAGCCTTCAGATGTCCTTCTAAGCCCAGCTAGTGTAAGAGTCTGACGCTCTATCCGATTGAGCTAGGCGGGCGGTTAGTGATTTAGTAGTGATCATGGATCCAGAAAGATGATTGACCTGTTCTATAGGCCTAAAGCAGTCCCCACTGAGGATGAGGTTGACATTAAATAAGAAACCTCGATAATCACTCATTACGAACCTCATAGAGGGAACTCTCACAGGCCTAATTAAGTACCTGTTCGAATACTCGTTTGGACCATTGAGGTTAGGAAGCTCACGACTGAGCATAATAAATGTAGGGTATATCCATCTCTACACGCCATTAAGATGCAAGCACTACATTCAAGCACTGAAGAGAACACCAGTGACCATGTACTGGTGCATGTCATGAGGAAGAAGAACTAGCCGGTGTACCTACCGGATTATACTATAAGTTAACTCGCAACATGCTAGTCCTACTCGGACCTTTGGCCTATCCGTTCTTGATAATCCCTCCATGCTTGATTCAACCACGGGTCATCCCAAGGTAGGGCGTCTCTTTCGACAACGCTGTCATCCCGAGATAAGCTGTCTCCAGGTGCGGGGAGAGCAAATTGCATTATACGGTCGGATTCCGTGTTTCGTGAACGGTGACGGCGATGCTGATCTTGCGAGGGGGGTTTGTAAGACCGTAAACTGACATCTTCCTCCTCCTCCTCCAATGAACCGCCGTCGTACATTCCGAATTCCTCCGACGAATCATAGAAAAAGACAGGCTTTCGTCGCTTCATCGGAAAGGAGTAGTAAGGCTCGAAGCGTCTTGACACGCCAGCAGCAGGTTTGATGGGAGCGTTCTCATATTCCATGCGTTTATAGGAGCCAAACCTTCGTGTATCTAATGACTTTTCCTCTTCTGACACTTCCCAAGTCCGGTTTGGCGCTTGCTGCTGCAGATGGCTCATTAAAAAAGGGGCTGAAAAAATCTAAAAAAAAAACGCACCCTTTGCGTTTCAACGCGAGTCACAACCGCGCACCTTTCATCGCCCTCGCCAACAGAGTAGTAGTACAATCCAAGCTTCTGAGCAATCGATTGCACGACCTGGTACTGTTGCGGTGTTGGCGTCGAACACATCAGCTCATCGCGCGCGTGGTCACTCTTGAATAACAAGACATCGGAATACATTTCAAGAGTTGAGGGTTGGTTAAAATCCAATTCATTGACCGATACCTCGTTAGGTGGAGGTTTGGGAAAAGGAACCTGTGGTACAGGAGGGATTGTTGAAGGCAAAGCCACAGGGTGGAGAAGAGCAGTCACAATGTGACGAGAACGATGGGGTGGCTGATGATACTGGTGCGAACCAGACTCAGAGGATTGTTGTGGGGTAAAGCCAGCAGGGCCATCGGTGTACTCAGCAGCAGTGACGCTGGCGTATTCTTCATTTATCCCTGTTGGATTCTACAACGATAACATTAGTCATCGCTGAGCATATGAATGGCACAACAAAAACCTTTAACGTCGGGCTAATTTCCCGCTGTAATCAAGTCAGCAGTCTCAGTAATGATATTACAATTTCAACACAAGGAAGAAATGTGTGTACTTACTTGCACCCCTACAAGCAAACGGTCTTGCGATTTGGAGATTAAGTCCAATACTATCTGAGCACTAGGTCGATTGCTGTTTTTTTCAGACCAACACCCTTCCAATATTAAGTGAATTGACTTGAAATCAGAGTCTACCGGGATAGCATCTACAGGAAGCGAAGGCCTTTCCCCTCCTAAGACCTTCATCGCAACAGTGATATCTTGAGAAAGATGCGAAAATGGTGGTTTCCCAGTTAAAATCTGCATAAATATTTGTGATATTGCAGATTTAAGCCTTTTAATAGACTTACCTCGACTATTGTACACCCAAATGCATAGATATCTCGTGGTATCAACATTCCAGCTCCAGCCACAGTATAAGAAGGAGGATTGATGAATTCCGGTGCTAACCAACGAAGTGAGCCTTGAGTGGAAGAAGTTTGCGTAGGATTCATAGATTGTGTATCCAAAACAGATAGGCCAAAGTCAGCAAGGCAGCAGGAATTACAATCGTCAGAGATCAAGATGTTGGCCTGCCAATTGATGAGCAAAAATCGACAAGTAAAATAGTTGACATACCCCTTTGATGTCACCGTGAGCTACAGGAGGATCGAGTCCGTGCAAGTACACAAGGCCTTCAGCGATTTGAGCGGTCTATAATTTGTTATTGATGAGATGAGTAGGTTTATGCAGAAGAGCAGGTACACACATGTTTCAATTTTGCATCCAAATCCAATGGGTTTTTCTGAGCATATGAGATGATATCGCCATTAAACATCCAGGGAGAGATAATACAGAAGCTAGGTGAGAACATTTCGGTATTCACACCAAGGAAAGGAAGGATGTTCGGATGATTGAGCTGCCTCCACAACAGAACTTCTTTACTTAGTGCCTGGAGGTAGTTCCTCGATATTTGTTTCGGATAATGCAGGTTCAATTGACATACCTTGAGCAAAGTTTCCCTCTCCGTCCCTTCTTGAAAATACCTCAAAACCTTCATGCAGACGCGTCGATCATCCCAACGTCCAATCCGAACATCCTACCAGGAAAGACATGAGTAATTGGGACATCGTTTGAACGGTAGTCGTACAGCAAAGCCTCCACCTTTCACCGCACGCTTACTTTCGCAGACTAGACCATCAAGGACCATTGAAGGCGGAAGGACTCCATACTGGTGATTCAAACGACGCATGAGTTTTAAACATCTCTTCCATTTCTTCCTGAATTGAGAGCCATTTGAAACACGCGCACGGTCAAGCTCCTGTATTGCATCATGAACATGAATTCAGGCAGCATACTAGAGCAAATGAGCCTACCGTTTGTAACAGCTCCATCGCCCCCAATGCTTCCTCCGAGTTCAACTCTGGAACAATGTTGTTGAAGTCTTGCTTCAGGTCATTGTGATAGTCATCCGCTATGAAAGAGAGAAGTTGGGTACTGGTAGATAGAGTTGGTGGCATTCTCAAACGACGGCTATATTTATCCAATGTCACGAGTTTTGAATTTAAAGCGCAATTGAGGCCTGAGGCAAGGTACTATCATGTTGACCTGAGAACAATACATCTTGAGCCGCGCAGGTTCGGGTTCAGAGTTAGCCGTCTATAAGCGCTCAAACTGTTTTAGCCGGTCAAAGCGTCTCATCTCACGTCATCTAGACCACAATAGGAAATAACTAAGAAACTGAACCAAAAATAAAAGCATGACTGGAGTTTTACAGTGTTATAGCCCATTGCGACGGTGTCAGAAAGTATTGAAATAAGCAGAAGCAAAGAGGCTGCACAGAGCTTGGCGAGTCACAACTCAGGAAACACTGACTTTGGAAGAACACCTGTGGTCGCGCTTGGTTTCAGGTAGTCAAACACACGATTAACCCAAGCCGAAGGATCAGAAATTTTGATTCCTGAAGCTAGCGCGCGCGGTCTGCTACAGAAGGAGGGGGAGCAGAATAACCGGCATGGTATCACCAAGGACCAGTCGAGGTCCGCGCTGCACACGCTGCGCCCGGAGTGTGCAGGGATGTTAAAAGCATAATCTTGAGCAGAAGAAAACTGGGATTTGGAAAGGCGTAGCTCTATTATACACGGTTCCGCCCTTTACCGTCCCACGAAAAAACAGTCGGACTCTAGGATAAAACGTTGAAACTAGTATCCTGATTATTGGATCCCAGAGTCTTTGTCCTCGCATCCGCTTTCAGGAATTCGAAGATTTTCTCTGCGACTCCCCTTGACGTATGTTGTGGGCCTGCCATATTCAGACAACTCGTCAAAACTGATTGTAGAGAGAAAGAAGCCTCGCTGACCGTATACCCCGCTTCATCAATAACTAAAACTAGTAAGGCTCTGCGGACCCCTGAGTGCATTCTTAATCACATCTTTTTTGGTCTCTTCGGCACTGTTAGTCACTTTTTGAGCATATACTCCGGTCTTTACATCGGAGGAATTACCCACACATAATCGTGGATTGAAGTAGTAGCAGTGACCTTGGACGCACGGATCACTGACCTTTAATGCTATCGATGTCTGAATACTCATTTGGACCATCGAAGTCAAGAAGCTCATATTTATCTCTATACGTCATTTACGCGACGCAAGGTGCAAGCACTACATTCAAGCACTGAAGAGAACACGGTGGTGCATAAGTTAGACTTGTGATAAGGAAGAACTAGTAGCCAATCTACCTACTCGGATTATACTATTTGGCTATCACAGCACACTGGTCCTACTCGGGCCTTTGGCTTATCCGTTCCTGATAATCCCTCCATGCTTGATTTAACAACAAATCATCCCAAGGTAAGCTGTCTCTTCCAATAACGCTGGCCGATTCGTGGATAACTCCTGATTCCCTACGGTAGGACTTCATGCCTGGTGAACGGCGATCCTCAACTCCAATAGATACAAATGGTGTGAAAAAGTTAGCCAGATAGGCTTCTTGCGAGGAATCGGAGTGACTCCGACGCGAAGCACGGTATGCAGGACGTAAAACTTTCACCAACTTCGAATTGACTGGACCGACGTTGGTCTATATGGGCATGTCCTGCACGTCGGCCATTTCCGATTCCTCCACCACATCGGACTCCTCCTTCGTATCAGACGTTTCGAATTCCGCCACCTCCGACGATTCATTGAAAGAGACACGCTTTTGCGGCCCTTTTCGGAAAAAACTTGGAAGGTTCGAAGCGGCCATATTTGGCGCGTTTAGAAGAGGGGCCCCGCTTTAGTACCGACGAGAAAAATCGACAGTAGGTTCGATGGGAACGCTTTCATATTTCTTGCGTTTAGACCACCTTGATCTATCTAACGACTTTTCCTCTTCTGACGTTTCCCAAGTCCGCTTTGGCGCTTGCTGCTGCAAATGGCTCGTTAAAAAAGAAGACTGAGAAGATCCGAAAAACGCACCCTTTGTGTATCAACGCGAGTCACAACCGCGCACCTCTCATCACCCTCGCCAACAGAATAATAGTGCAATCCAAGCTTCTGAGTAATCGATTGCACGACCTGATACTGTTCCGGTGT